GATTTCATTTAATTTTGTCAATATGAAATCCCAAGCACAAAATATTTGCAAATGGACCACTAATTCTACTATAAAATTTTTAATTTCAAGATCAAACAATGAAGAAAATAGCACAAATTTCACCAAAGACACAACTATAACAGAAAGATGAAATTTTTATATTTTGCCTATATGTGAGCAATTCTTATATTTGTGATTTCTACATGTAATGAATTAGTTACTGGCAAAACGATTAAAAAATGATCCGAATTCAATGTCAATCCATTTTAATTATTTTGTCACTGTGCTATTGGATTCTAAAATGTTACTGGAATGAAAATCAAACGTGGTGTGATATAACCATAGCAATCATTTTTGTCAAACGACGATCTAATAACAATTATTAAAACTACAGTAATAAAATCGTAAATATAAGGAAATATAAGAGTGGGAGTACCGCTGTGTTAATATTTGAATGCAACCAGCTTCGAACTCCGTGCTGTGTGCAGAAACAACTTACAAATGTTGCTGCTGACACTGAGAAGCGTTATAAACCATTCAAGTTTTATTATAGTCTTGGAATACTTCTAATTTATTATTATAAAGACATAATTGAACTCTGCATATGTTAGAATATGCCACACAACTATAGGAAATGCTCGAAATAATGCAAAAAATTAAACTGAATAAGTGCAATTGATAGCAACTACTGTACAGAATGAGTCAGTTACACAGTACATCAAATTTTTGAATAATTCCTTGACTGCAGTAAACGGGATCGGATAAACCTTCTAACGCATCTAAAAATGCCCGTGTGGCGAGCACCCCGTACATCCCTGTGCAATGCATTTTGTAAGCACATGCAGTGCATACATAAGTCAGTATTCCTGCAATCATGTAATAATGGAGCAGTAAATCGCAACCTAGCCAATTCTCCTCGTTCACCTTATCCATCAAGTGATCATTCAGTTTCCAATGATATTCATAGCATTTTTTAGCAACTTAGACAACAACCTCAGTGCGAATGAAAAATGCTCACTTTGCGAGTCTATCGGGCGAGTGCGATAATGCAATGCAATCCGTACTTTGAATCGCTGGGGTAAAACAGTTGCGTTCCTTTGTCTGCTGCACATTACGTATGAAAATGTTTTTAGTCGTCAATTTTCTTGCAGTTATGTTGTCTAATACTTTTTAGCAAAGAGAATTTCTCGCGTGCAAAGAAGTGTGAAAAAAATATTTAGGCGGGTAGACTACTACCTGTTTCGAAAATTAGATGAATTAAAAAAAAAAACTGGGCAAATGTCTCTTGCTAAAAGTTAGGTTGATATTGCGTAAAATTTGGTGAAGAAAATGAAATGTTACAAGTTCATGTAATACCATGTTGTGCCTCTTCTATTGCTTGGAATAAGTGATTCCAAAGATTGCTTGTGCATAGAAGGTTTTATCAATGACCATTGAAGGTTCTTCGCAATGAGTGAGCTGGAAGAAGTTACTGAACAAATCAATTTTTCTGTTGAAGAAGTAGAAATATTGCAGTGGTGGCGAGAACATAAGATATTTGCTAAGTCACTGGAGTAAGCTTTCCTTTCGTTCTTATATACTTTTTTGGAAATGCATTATGAAGGTTTAGTGAAGAAACTGTGTTATGTTGTTCAATATATTGTGTAATATTACTTTCTGAAAAAATCTAACCTGTTGACGTGCTGACTTTGCGGATTGTTTATAGATTCTCAAATAATTTGTGTAATTTCGTATTCCAGACAAGGTACTCAGTTCAAAAAACTGTCATTAGCTTTATTTTTAAAACACAAGGAATAATATGCGTATTAATAAATTTAAGAATGAGTAAAAATCGAACACATTATACGTTTTATGATGGTCCTCCGTTCGCCACAGGGCTACCTCATTATGGCCATATTTTGGCTGGCACCATTAAGGATGTTGTAACCCGTTGGGCTCATCAAAATGGGTACTATGTTGAACGGCGCTTTGGCTGGGATACACATGGCTTACCTGTCGTAAGTCTTGAAATTTCACAAAATTTAGTAGATTTTTAAACGTTTTACATAATTGTCGGTCTTGATACTCATCATACATGATTTCTATTCATTTCAGGAATGTGAAGTAGATAAAATACTTGGTATTAAAAATCCACGTGATGTATTGGAGTTAGGCATTGATCGTTATAATGCGGAATGTAGAAAAGTTGTCATGCGATACTCAGCAGAATGGGAGGTTTGCATCTCTGTTTTCTGCATGTAGAAATTATTTGCTGCTCATATTTATAAAAACTAACGATCATTTTATTATAATTATGATTATTATAATATATATATATATAATTTTATATATATAATTTATATATAT